GTGGGTGTGGGTGTGGGTGGGTGTGGGTGCGGGTGTGGGTGGGTGGGGTGTGGGTGTGGGTGTGGGTGTGGGTGTGGGTGTGGGTGTGGGTGTGGGTGTGGGTGGGTGTGTGGGTGTGGGTGTGGGTATCGATCTGGGTGTGGGTGTGGGTACGGATCTGGATGTGGGTATGGATCTGGGTGTAGGTGTGGGTGATCTTTCAATTTCGATCCACACCCACACCTCACATCGACCCACACCCCAGATCCATGCACACCCCACATCCACTCACACTATACACCCACCCACACTCGACACTCCACAACCCACATCCACTCACACTACACATCCACACCCACCCCACCCACCCACACCCATACACCCACCCACATCCATACCCACACCCACACCGACACCCGCACCCTACCCACATCCACACACCGATACCCACACGCCGCATCCACACCCGCTCCACACCTCCATTTCCCAGAAAGAAAATACTACATTAAAAAAAATGTTATGAATTATGAGTATACATATTGGTCGTATTTAATACTTCTATACTCTTTAGTGAGTTCTATTGTTCCGTTGTATTCATCATTGTCATTTGGAACCTATAAATATAAGATTATAATTGTAATCATTATTTTTCACTGAAGAAGAAAAAGAAGAATACCCGTCTTTCGGCTACCTTTCTGTATAGGGTGGTGTCCGAAGACAGTTTCGAGAAGCCCGATATTTTCCCACATCTATCACTAAATGTAGCTCTGGACAGAAGGCTGGCCTGAGTCAGAGTTCTTCTCGCTTAATTTCTTAAGCTCCCCTTACATACTGACTAACCACATACTAGTCACAAGGACCATTTAGTGTATGTCAAGTACGTAGTCAATTTGTTATCGGATTGGTGCTCCGTGATAAAACAGCCGTTAGCGACTTGTCCAAGGTCATTCGATGGCTGAAGAAGCCGAGGTTCGAACACAATATCTTGTGGATATCTGTCAAATATCTTAATCATTCCGTCATAGTGGCTCATTTTTTACTGAGAATACAAACACCTACTTTTTCTAACTCGGGCTATAATTATCAATGATTTTTCGATCTAGAAGCAAACAAAGATGAATGTCGTGTATTATTATAACTGTTTCAGAAGCGAAGGATTCAAAATAAAAACCATCTATGAAACTTCCCTTTGAATTTACACAATCATATGGTCGAAACTTTAGTGATGAGTGCAGGTATGAATGAAATTAATCTTTACATGCACATATACACCCACATGTTTCTGGATGTTGTGAACTGTCGAGCAATTTAGAGCATCGCAACCTTCTCAGATGTGTTGAGACGCTTGGAGGCATTAAAACATTTCATTGGTTATTTTGAGTTAAGCCTTCCTCTCGGATCATGTCTTCTTCTTTGTATGAAACCAGCGTATGTGCTTAAACATGACTTTTTTCACTGGTAATAGGACGCAATCATCAGAAATATACTTCGCTTTTTTGTGCCTCTTATTTCATCTAGAGATATTTTAAGAAAGATGCGAAGAGTGTGGGTGTGGGTGTGGGTGTGGGTGTGGGTGGGGTGTGGGTGTGGGTGGGG